TCCCGAAGTATGTATACGAAGAACTAAGTTGATTGGAAATCAACTTGATCTTCTTGTTGTATATATAGCCTCATGTTCCCTCTGAACGTACATATAACTTAACACAATTTATACCTCTGAACTACAACAGGTTATGAGCCCGGCAGCAACTCTCGGATGCCGTCTCTACTCATCTGAGAATCATCTTGATTACTATATATCTACCCCGCTTTCACAACCATCACTATGTCTGCTCTGGTTCACGACTCGCCCGATCGAGCCGTCACGGCCATCGAGCCTCTAACAGGAAGCGACAACTTTGCGACCTGGAAACGTCTCATGACCTCCTACCTCAAAGCGAGGCAGGTCTGGGATGTCGTGTCGGGCGACCTTGAGCGTCCTGTCTGCTCATTCAAGTACGCCAAACCGATTACGGCGGACATCCACTCGTTAGTGGAACCGCACCTCAACGGGGCGGTGAGGCAACGCGCGATTGAGGCGCGCCTCGAAGTGGAGGTCCAGGCATTCGAGCGCCATCGTGAATGGTCGCGCCGCGAGGCCGAAGCCTACCACACCATCTTCCGGTATCTGTCCCCCCATATCAGTATCCATGTCGCGGGGCTGGAGACATCCCGCGACCTCTGGAATGATCTCGAAGAACGCTACCGGCGGATGGAACTCGCCACGTTCTGCGAGCTGTTCGCCCAGCTGCGCGAGACCACCGGCGAGCGCTGCGGCAGTGCACGTGAATTCGTCGATCGTGTACGGATGCTAGTCCATCGATTGAATGCGATCGCCCCTGGATCCATCGGCGACAAAGCGCACATTGCAATCCTACTGACGCAGATCGGACCGGAATACATCCTGATTGTGGATGCGATCCAAAATGACAAGGATCCTGTCAACCCGGCAAATATTGGCAACCGTCTAGCAAATGCTGAGCAGACGGTGCAGCGAAAGGACGCCGCAACGTTCCCGCAAAGAGTGTCTGGTGGAACGAGTAACCCTTCGATCAATACGGTGCAGAAGAACACCAAGAAATGCAATTACTGCAGAAAGCGCGGCCATGTAGTCGCGGACTGCTGGAAGAAACAGCGTGAACTACAGCAACCGCCCAGGGACCATGCCCTGAAGGCTGAACGGAGTGCTTCCGGCTCACCAAGAAACAATTTACAAAATATACCATCAAGCCAGATGGGAGATCGGCAGGGCCCGCCGACTTCCAAGAGACCGCGGATCAATATCGTGAGGGCGAGGGTGACGACTCTCTATACCCACGCACCGTCACTCCGGTGGATCCTGGACTCGGCCGCCACTAGCCACATCTGCTGGGACCGGAGCTGCTTCAGCAGTCTTCGGCCTCATCGCGAGATGTTGGACACGGCGGGCGATCCAGTGGAAGCCAAAGGGATTGGTACGGTGAAACTCACGCTCCGGGGGAAGTTCAACCAACCCCTGGTGTTAAAGAATGTGTACTTCGCGCCACGCGTTGGGATGAACCTGATCAGCGTGCCGAAGCTGTTACGAGACCGCTATTCGGTGGTGGCGCACCCGCAGAACGTCTTTGTGCAACGCCGAGGACGGACGGTGGGGACCGCCTACCATGCGGAGGAGGATCTACTGATCCTGCGGTGCCAAGTGAGCAAGAGATTCCGAGAGCGAGTCCAACTGGCGAGGGCGCCGGCGACCGATGACCATGCAGATTCCCTGGAACCGCAGGCGGTGGCCATGGACGTCGACGACCCTCAGGAGTCAAGTGACGTAGAATGTACAGCGTCAACCTCTGAACTCGGTGGTGAAGCTGTGATACTCGAAGCAGATGCGAGCACAGGAGTGGACCAGGCCTCCGAAGCGTTGTGGCACGCTCGGATGGGACATCTGAACCGGGGCGACTTGAGGATGGTCCTCCGGCAGACCGGCACTCCGTACCGACCGCTGACGCCAGCGCAGCTGCTGGCAACGCCGCAGTGCGCGGCGTGTATGTCGGGTAAGCAGCATCAGAAGAGAAACTCCCGTGCACGACGGCCACGTCTGCACTCAACGAGAATTTTCGAATTGATCCATTCGGACATCATGGAGATGCCGATGGCCAAAGATGGCTCTAGGTACGTGATCACCTTTACTGACGATTATTCTCGTGGCTCGTGGGCCTATGCCATGAGATGGAAGCATGAAGCGCTCCAGAAGTTCCGACAATTTGAGGCCTGGGTGCACCGACAGTTCGGCGCCCAGATCAAGAGGTTCCTCACCGACAATGGAAGAGAATACCTGCCGATCGGAACACACCTCGAAAGCCAGGGAGTTGGGTTCGACACCTCGCCGCCATACTGCAAAGGGCAGAATGGACTGGCGGAACGCACCAACCGCACTATCCGGGAGCGGATCAACACGCTCCTGTCCGATGCGAACCTTCCTCCTTCCTGGTGGATCGAGCTTGTAGACACCGTGGTCTACTTGAAACTGCGTGCTCCAGCTTCGATCTTACAGAAAAAGACGCCCTTTGAAATTCTTTATGGGAAGCTACCCTCGCTCTTGCATCTGCGACGGATCGGCTCCCGCGCATGGGTCTTCATCCCAAAAGAGCATCGTGCAAAACTTGGACCGAGGTCATCCGAGTGCCGACTGCTAGGCTACTGCGAGCCGAACCAGTACAAGCTCTATGAAATTCATTCTGGAAAGACTGTATTTTCCCGTGATGTCGAGTTCGATGAGAGGACCCCAGTGGCGCCACTCATCGAGGGGGAAATAGGCAACGACCTCCCGGACAACGCTCCTCCATCACCGGTCTTTCCATCAATGCCAAATTCAGCCAGCGGGCTACCAACACCACCTGTATCGCCATTACCTCCGTCGAGTGAGCGAGAGAAAACGCCATCTGAGCGTGAAGAAGAGACACCTCCAGTGGTTAATCCAAGCCAACAAGGAACCGACCTGACATCGGATCTTGGGTATTCAATCTATGGTCGCAGACGAAGACCGTCACGGCGTCTCCTGGAATCACTAGGTAAGGTATACTCTGCAGGTGCCTTGAATACCACAACGGCCCAATCGGTCGACCCGGCGACCTTTGGCGAAGCTGTGTCTGGCCCAAACCAGCTCGAATGGTGGGCTGCTATCCAGAAAGAATATGCGTCGCTTCTCGAACACGGAACATGGGAAAATATCCGGCGAGAGGACGTACCGGCCAAAGATCATGTGATTGGCTGCAGATGGGTCTTCAAAACCAAGGCCAACGGAACACGCAAAGCGCGATTGGTCATTAAAGGCTACCGGCAGAAACATGGCATCGACTATCACGAAACGTTTGCTGCGGTGTCGCGTATGGACTCCGTTCGCTGCATTGTTGCCAGTGCCGTGCTGCGCGGATGGAAACTCCACCAATTCGATGCGGTCACCGCATTCCTTCATGGAGACATCGATTCGTCTATCTATATGGAACTTCCCGAAGGCTTCGAAGAGCCAGGATATGTGTGTCGGCTGCGCCGCTCGCTATACGGCCTGAAGCAAGCCCCGCGGATTTGGTACCAATGCGTCCACCGCGTCCTGGCTTCTCATGGCTTCACCATGGCCCAATCGGACAACTGCGTATTCCATAAACCGGATTGTGTTGTTTGTGTTTATGTCGATGACTTCCTTGTTACTGCGTCAGACCCGCACGAAATAAAACAAGTGCAACAAGCATTGCAAACAGAGTTCCAATTGAACGACCTGGGCACCCCGCGATCGTTCCTCGGAATCCAGTTCGACTATCACGTTGACGGTTCCGTGTCTATTCACCAACACCAGTATATCCAGAAGGTGCTCTCCGACTTTGGCATGAAGACTTGTCAGCCGAAGTCTACGCCGATGAATCCCAAGCAAATCCTGAATCATCGTCCAGAGGTGGAACCTCCAGACGAGGAAGCAAAAGCTCGGTATGTAACCGCCATCGGTTCGTTAATGTATCTGATGATTGGCACGCGACCGGATATTGCATTTGCGCTGGGCATGTTGAGTCGCTTCACGTCCCAACCGCAATCGCATCACCAAGTCGCTCTGCAGCGATTGCTTCGCTACATCAAAGCCACGCAATCGCATCGCATTACCTACCGCAGTGGGCAGCTAATCGGGTACACGGACGCCGACTTCGGGGGCTCCGTCGTCACTGACGGTGCATACTCCACGTCTGGCTATGTGTTCCAACTTGCAGGCGCACCGGTTTCCTGGTCGTCCAAGAGACAGGGGGAAGTGGCCACGTCTACGACACATGCCGAATACATAGGACAGTACAATGCTATTCTGCATCTGCAGTGGCTCCGCACCTTTCTGGCTGAAACGCAACTGTATCGGTCTCCGGTGACTAACATCATGGCTGACAACCAGTCCGCCATTGCTCTCTCTCGAAACCCCGAGTTCCATAAGAGAACGAAGCACTTCAATGTGAAATTTCACTATCAGCGAGCCGTGCTGGATACAGGCGAGATTGAGCTTCAATATATTCCAACTGGGGAACAGGCTGCGGATGGTCTCACCAAGCCATTGGGACCTACGGCCTTTGCCAAGTTTTGTAGTCTCCTGGGAGTCGATGCTCCAGAGATTTCGAGACAAAACGCGTGACAGCGCTGGCGCTCTTTCCACTTTATTTTCCCACGAAGGTTTTTGAGTGGTTTTACCGAGGCCTGACTGCTCTGCGCAATTCCAGAATCGCCCTGCCAGCAAAGCGATCCTGAAGGGGAATGTTGTGATATGAGGCTGGTGCAGATCAGGAACCAAGCCGAACCATCGGAATTAATCCCGAAGTATGTATACGAAGAACTAAGTTGATTGGAAATCAACTTGATCTTCTTGTTGTATATATAGCCTCATGTTCCCTCTGAACGTACATATAACTTAACACAATTTATACCTCTGAACTACAACAATTAGTTCATGTTGTGATCAGCTTCCAAGGCCTCGAGGCATCAGACTGCCGGGCAGCTGGTGTGGATGCATGGATTATAAGGATACGGGCATGTGTTCCGTCGTCTACATATACTTTGGCGATGTCCTCAGCACGTCAGCCCGCCTGGCTCGAACTTCTTCCAAGCGAAATACTCGGTGTGGTTGTTAAGTGTCTCTTTACCAACGACATGAAACATCTTTCGTGTGTCAGTAAACGATTGAGGGACGTTTCAATACCTTACTTATTCCGTGGAGTTCGATTTTCGTTCTCTGATTCCGGTCTCCTTGGACTACGAAGGCTCATGCTATCCGGCGTGCGCCAATACGTAGTCTCTTTCACGTATGTGATCCCGGAACTGCTCCGACCTGGTAAGGCCACTTAATTTGCATATAGAAGAGTTTACTAATGGGGTGGGAGAAACGACGGACTTTGAATATTTTAGGCGCAGTATCCTCCCACCTGAAAACTATGCCGCGTGTGGGAGTTTTCGACCTGGGCTAACAGTCCCATACATGCTTGTCTATGATACCTTCAAAGCTATATCTATAGAACAACAAGGTCTCGTGGGGAAAAATGAGGATGTGACTGTGCTGTCGGCTGTTTTCAGACGGCTTCCCCGACTGTCAGAGCTCAACTTGTGTTTTTGCCAGACTCTTACCAAAGAGCACTGGATGGCACTTTTCATGGATCAAACTGTGGAAATCAGCACATACGGGCATCATTTACCTGTTCTATCAAGCTCCCTGAAGGTTGGAAGGGATTTCGGTATTTCTCTACACACTGTTCACTTATCCTGTCTTGAGCTTCCTTACTATTGTTCATTAAACACGCTTGAAGCGCAGAATCTACGCGCTTACCTGTTTGACTTGTTGGAAGACTGTCGAATATTACGCCTAAGCGGATCTGGTTCACCGTTGAAATCACTGTCCCGCGCAAACATGCATTTTACGCAATTGGACCTGTGCCGTCTCACTGTCCCTCAAGCTACCCTGCATGAATTTTTCCTGAGCAATGTGGTAACAACATCTTTTGGATTCCACGATATAAATCTGCTTGGTTCAGACGGTTCGGAGCCTGATTCAGCCGTACTGTCCCCAAAACTGGCTCGCAACAAACTTGGCATTAGTTGGTCTACCATATGCTGGACGAGTTCCCGTTGTCCAGTTTGCGGGTGTGATAGTTGGAAGCTGTCAAGGACCTGACATGGCAGGAGCAAGACCGACTCTGCTGCCACGAGCTAGCGGCTGCAGCATTTATGTGCTTAATTCAGCTTATCATTACGGCATAACAATATACCATATGTCCCTAAAGAAGAAACAGCTAAAGCATAAAGCATACCTAAATTATAATCTGATATAAATAGACCTGAACCAGCCAAGTACTTGACACATGCTAATCGAACGACTAATGAGATTTTAAATAATATTTAAAAATAAGTAGTAGTCCAGGAAATTTAGGATCTTTGAAGTGAGAATATGTTGGTCGGAGATGGGTATAGAGGGTGGCCGGGCACTGAGTATTTGTGCCCTCCTATTCATTTTGATTTCTTTGCAAAAGAGTTATTTGACATGAATGTCATAATGAAATTTCACAAATTTTTAGAATTATAACATCCCTATTATTAGATCGGCGCGTAGTAGACCATACAACCAGCCGAAATTGCTCTTTTTATGGCGTTGCTTATTATCGCGCCATGAAATTTCAAGGGTATGGCCAGGCTTAGAGTGACGATAACAATTCTAGTTTGTCGCAGAATGGGGTTCCAGATATAGCCAGACGTGTAGTATTAGGGCTGCAAAATGCGGGGGTAGGTATGCGATATTCCGAACGCTGTTCCAATGGGTTGAGTTCTCGAGGTTGAGAGATATAGTCATCGTGGAACGGACTGCTTTCGTATCTGGAAAAATATATAAGACCAGAGGCTTTGGACGTCTGTCAGCGTGTATGGACGGTATATGTAGACACCCAACGACACCCCCAAGTGTAGGGAGAAAGAGCCATGGGAAACGTCAATGAAAACGGTTCACTTACCGGAGGCTCCTACACGAAACGTGCACCCTTACAGTACCGTACTTCTATCCACTCTCGGGTTCAAGGATGGTCCCCAAGCCTTCTACCATAGAGCTTTCACAGTACCATAGAGATTAAGAATCGGAAATTTTAGACCAGACATCATTATTAGCAAATGTATTTTTCCTCAACTGTGAGTTCCGTGCCGGGTCCGACTAGCATCATATGCTTGGGACTACTCATTGCATCAGTTCCATGCGAATTTCCAATAATTTCACTACTCGGGCTGGTATTAAAGCTCAGAAAGCTTCACGCCACGATGCAAGAATCCCTTGACGGTCTTCCGTATCTGGTCTCTGAGACTATCCGCTGCTGAAACTAGAGATAAATCAGCATATGAGAGAATGGGATCAGGCTACAGTAGGGTCAATTACCCATCACCAAGGTCCGGCCTTGCTCGTCGCGGATGTTTGGTAGCCTCTCGATCTAGTCCCCGGAGGCCTCAAGCGAGACTATACTATCATAATCGGGTACACCTTGGTAAAAGCATGCTCTTTGGTGTTTCCCGATTGGCGTCTTGGCATGTGCAAGTCTGTTTTCAACGTAGATTGAAGATTGAAATATTGAGGATCTGCATACGTATTTCCGTCAGTACCAAACAAGGTTTCCATTTTGAAGCCGGTGACATACATAGCCTTTATCTATGATATCGTCCTCCAGTGGGGGAGGGGGGTTGAGCAGGTCCTCGGCCGCGCTGACCATTTCTAAATTGTGAGTGAGGTCTATTGTGCACAATTGAGATTTCCCTACTAAGTCTGATTAGCTTTCATTTAAAATCCAAGGCGGCATCAGGAAAGAACACGTTTCTATCATTTGTTTTTTTATACAAAGGAGCAGGTATCGATGCTTGAACACTGTTTTGATATGAGGCTGGTGCAGATCAGGAACCAAGCCGAACCATCGGAACTGATCCTGAGATATCTATACAATGAACCAAGATGATTGGAAACCAACTTGTTCTTCTCGTTATATATATAGCCTCATGTTTCCCTCTGACAACAAGACAATTCTTATCTCTGAACAACAACAAAAACGATCGACAAAATCTCATCTCTGAACTCGAAAGTCTGCACATTTATTCATGGGTCTTGTACCATGCTTATAATCAGGGGATGGGAGAGCCGGGGCAGGCCAAAATGAAGCAGTAGACTGAACATTGATGGCGAAGGAACTATTCATTGCGCAGCAAATAACACTATATTTGATGTTCATGAGGCTCTGTCATTACGATTCTCAGATAATCTGTTATTATCAATAAATCCTCCTCCGTAATCGAGACAGCACACGATCTTTTTTGGACCACGAGGTCTCGGCAGAGACTGCGTCCGAAAGTTTTGCCCTGCTGTAATTGAAGGTGAAGCTGTCGGCGGTAGCCTCGTCACTACCTCAGAGCAGTCGCAGTTTATTCAGTATCCATACGCGCTTCGCACCTTTCGTAGTTGCGCCGTTCTCTTTGAGGTATGATCTGGTAGATTCAAGATCCTTGCTCTTGATATAACCACCTTATTCCAGCCATGTAAGGGGTGTCAAATACATATCATCCCGCGCATTGACCTTGGCGCTGAGAGAGCCATTACCTGGGAAAGGGGTGTTCGTTTATTATGATCACGATCGTCAACAGGAGCGTCAATATGTATCAGACTTTGAAGAAGCTTAGTGCAATCTCCCATCGCGGCGAAATGGATGAGGGACTTCTTATACGGGCCTCTGGGATTACATATGCCCCTAAATTACATCTCGTTCTGTGTTTCATTAAGGTAATTCATGATGTCATCGTTTAGTTGGTTCTCTCGTATCTTCTTCAGGCGCTCGAATTCCTTATCAATGATGTTTATGGTAGTTCGGGAAGCCATGTGAACTTGATTATGCTGTATAGAGTTGACACTGACGGCAATATTGATATCCTAGACGGCACCCAACCTGAGATCGAACCATGATAGGTATTTATTTATAGCTTCCAAGATCTGAATATTGGCATTCACCTTCACTTTTTGCCTCTCTGTGTCATATCGCCTATCAGATTTCTGCCTTGACCCAAAATGGTTAAATGTACTCTTCAGTTGAACAACCTGTTGTTGAAGACTTTGTTGCCGCAGAATCGTGTCGCTGATTAGTAAAAGTATAGGGCGCTCCGCACAATGCAGTAAAAGCCAAGACTTTTCGCAGGCCTTACTCAAATTGAAAAAAATGACATTGACCAAATATAAACATCATTACCTCGCGGGAAAAAGGGCTCACAATTTAGCCATCGGGGTGACAACCAGGTGAGAAATCAATGCCATACTATAGAGAGCAGCATGATATCATTGATGGAACCTATTATAAGACCACGATAGACTGAGTCTGAGACTCACACAATCACCAGCGAAGATCTAATTCAGCGTGACAAAGAAGTGTCATGACCATGTGCCCTGCCTCGAAACGCGCCATTTCAATGCAACGAAGCCCAGTTCCGGCGCTTAGTGTCTTCAGAAATGGAGATCCAATGACTACCCCCCTCTACCTCTACTTAATGAAACACATGAGTCTCGAGGATAGAGGATCGTATGGCTGAGAGGATGAGTTCAGACCCTCCGCGCTAACATAACGACCTAGATTCGCGATTTGGCGCATGGCCTCTCGTGACCTACTGCTCAACAGCCTTTTGCTCTCAGTACGCCGAAACCTATAAAGAAATGTCATAGTAATGACGATGAGCAGCCACTCTCCACAAAGCTCCCCAATGTCCTCGACTTACCCACCCAGCCCGCAGCATCGTGTTCCCAAGACCCGTAGTCTCCATGGAGATGAAGAGCACGTATTGTTTGCCTATGAAGCCCATGCGAAAGACTGCACCTACTGCGAAGTTCCGTTTGGATCAGCTCGGCTGTGTTTCCGCGGATTAAATCTAGCCCGAGGAGTTGTCAAATACCTCTATCGGCGATCTGGGGCCTATCATTCTTCCCGTGGCCATGAGGGTGATGAGACAAGCCGGATCCATCTCCCTGCAAGTGCTCAATCGGTCCGCAGGCTCCTCACGGCGGTGGAGCAGGGCTTGCTTAGGGAACTATCTGCGGAGAGAAATTCCGGGGCTGCCCGCCCAGACTCCAGTCCATTTGAGATCATCGAACGACAGCCTCGCTATCCCGGGCCTAGCTATCGAGCTCTTGAATGTCCATTTCTTCGCCGAAATATTTCGTTTCTTTCAACTCGCTCCCTGCGGCACCGAAGCTCCGGCCTCATTTCACCAGGCCTGACCATAAATGGTAGATGCAAATTCAGAAGATCGGTAATCGAAGTGAAGCTGATCTTTCGCACCACGAGATGAATCCGGCTCACCTTCGCATGTGTGGCGAAGCAGAGTATTTAATGGGAACTATATTCTGTGTTATTGCTAGAACCGCTGTCGCCTATGACCTTTTGCTGTTCCACTTGCTTGCGAAACTTCAGATTACTTCTTACATGCAGAACACGTGTTTTAAATGATGTTATATTTATTCAGTTAACTTGTATTCCTACACCAGTTCAATGCGCAGTAATTCTTTCGCTTTTCGACAAATTCAGCCAACATTTGAACGACATCCTCATGCCCTTCATCCACAGCGAGCATGAATGGAGTCAACCCATCGTGGTCTCTCGAATTCAAATCGCTATCTTGCCGTTCCATCAAAGTTCTCACAACGGCACTATGGCCTCTCCGTGCCGCCCATGCCAAAGGGGTATACCCGTCCTTATCCCTGGAATTGATCGCGACATCCACGCGGTCAAGAAGTAGGCAAGTGATTGCTTTGTGGCCCATTGCCGCTGCCCGTGCGAGGGGAGTGCACCCTTCATCGTCCACCGAGTCGGCCTAAATATCTTTGCGCCTAAGCAGTAGTTTCACTATGTCCGTATGCCCTCCTTCCGCTGCCAATGCCAGAGGTGTCGCGTTGAACCAGTTTCGAGAGTCAACTTGGGTATCTCGATGTCCCAGCAAGACTTCTAACACATCCTTGTATCCTTATTCAGCGGCTCGCCCCAGCGGTGTATTTCCATAATCGTCTTTGGCATTCACGTTGGCTTTGGGTTCGTCTAGAAACAACTGTACGATAGAAGTACGACCTCAGGAAGCTGCGTGAGCGATCGGAGTTACCCCATAACGGTCGGGCAAATTGATATCGAAGTCGGGGTGGCCGAGGGTGAGGGCTGCTGTCGCAGTGTCGTTTCTCTCAATCACACACCACAGCGTATGGCTGCTACGATGAACCTGTGCATCAGTCTTCAGGCTATAGCTCGGAGGCAGGCCCGTCACGATCCTTTGTATGGACGTTGAGCCATAACGTGGCCAGGAACCCATTTTCGCGATGTGCCAGATCAGTTCAGAGTTCTGGGGTACCAGCCGAACCCCTTCGACAAGCCCGTTCCCCTCCTGGAGGCTCTAACATCTCGCTCGTGGCACCCGCGTTCCACGGTACAGATGGGCCGCTAATGCGGGAACATTGGGGGCTATTGTGCACGCGGGTGGTAGTTCGGCGTGTAAGCGCTTCATTCGAGGGATCGGCGTGCACAGGCCGTCGGACAACCAGAAGTGGCGCGATTTTTTGGCTGGTAGAGCGTTCTGCATGGGCCATTACGTTTAGGGCCGTACCGTCCCAAATACCGGCCCGCAATTGCCACATTTAGAAGCGCTTCCTGACTTGACCGTGAGAAAACATCTATCGTTGAGCCGGTTTCATCATTGTAGATAGGATTTGGCGCGCGTTGTATGGACGACTTTCTGGGCATTTGAGTGGGAAAAACGAGGAATACATGGAGATATACACAGATTTCACGCGCACAAAAGATTTCGAAAACAGATTAACCCTTGGAAACTTTCCAAGCGCCCCACTGCGATGGTAATAAGCCATCTTTGGCGAAAAAAAAGTCCTCCTGTGGGGTTTGCAGCGGTATGATTGCCTGTAAATCTCTGAACCTGGGCGATCTGGACCAGGTGGTCTTGTGGGTCTCTGCGAAAGAATGTGACTGTGTCTAGGGTGTGATTGGTGTCTTTGCAAAATGCTCTGCAAAGGGGTATATCAATCTGACCTCGATTGCACGCTTATTTCTTCTCATCAATCAATATTTTTGTCCGGGATTTGTGCTGCATGGTCTCATTTACCCTAGATGAATCCTTCTCCGAACACTATCAGTTTTCTCTGCTATGAAATGGGGATACGCATTGATGTTTCTGTACGGCTAGTACTGAACATTCTCAATAGGATTGGATGGTTGGTTGGAGGTGTTTAGGATTGGTCGAACGATCTCAAAGGTGCGTATCAAATCAGGGTATCATAACTCAGTCACTCCTAATTTTATTACTAGAATGAAATGAGTAATCAACGAATAAGGGTACTAGTGGTATTTGACCACTCTCTCACTTCGTCGGTACAGTAAATCAAAATCTTGTAGTCCGATTACTTCTAACATGTGTACAAGGCTCTTTGATAGGACCAACTAGAAGGCTGGATGCCTTATAGAGACGGAATCACGCCAATGACTAGGAGGAAAGTCTGATGGCATCTTGCACGGTTGCAATCTGCGCTCAGCTGCAAGTGTGGCATAGCGCATCCGTGGCGGATGAATCAAGTTCAGATAAAGTTTTATTGTTTTCGAATGGTGTAGGTTGTTATCGAGGCTACAGTACAGACATCGAAAGCATTGGTTGTTCCCGATCAAGTTACAACTTCGTCTTGACCCGTCGGAAGTCCATCGTTAACAGTGCAGCTATCTTCCTGCGTCGAATTCATATACTACAAAAAACCTCTGCAAAACCTTCCGAAGTACATTTTTCAAACAAAACATTCCAAAAACTTGTTAATGCTGTCTTTAACGGCCTAGATTTATATCATACCATTTGAAGTTTGCGATTGCCGGACTATTTCATGCCGTGCTTAGACATTTCACGGTAGGCGGCCCGTGTAGCAAAGCTCTGCAGAAGCGCAACTATCTCGATGCTTCTCCTTTTCCTAGCTTCGGGAGACCGATCTCCCCTGGCTCAGGGGGGGTAGCGGGTCCAACCGACGAGAGAGAATATAGGCTACGGCTGGAGGAGGAGGAGGAGGAGAGGGGGGTAGTGGGGGCTGATCTTCGGGATCAAGAGGTCGAACGCTACGAACGTCGCAGGTGCTTTGTTCTCCTGGCTGAACTGGTGCTAGTGTGAAGCCTGGACGCGGTCACGCCAACACTACCCTGTCGTAAAACCAACATAAGCCAATATACCTCACGACATATGCCGCGTTTATCACCCGAAGAACCCCAAATCACTGACAGAAGTGCATATTTTCATCTAAAACGATTATATTAGTTCTACCATGGATGCTATCTTACTGGCGAGTCACGAGGCGCTTCCAAGGGTGGTAGTTGCGGGTCGGCGTTTGGGTCGGAGTGGCCCTACAGACAAATGCCTGCCCACGTATAACTCTCTGCCAACCAAAGAATCGCGCCATTTCTGTGCTTTTTCGACGGTCTTGTGCGCCTTGATCCCCTCGAATAGGGCGCTTACACGATCAACTAACCAGCTCATTTAGGATGGCCCCCAATGTTCCCGCATTAGCGGCTCATCGGTACCGTGGAACGCAGTGCCACGCAATTGAATGTTACACGGAAGGCAAGCAGTGGGCTTGCTATGCTAAGGGGGCGGCTAGTGCCTCTTGAGCTCTGATCTGGTCTGAACCATTGCAAGTATGGGGTCCTGGCCACTTTCCGGCTCGGTGTTTCGGGCCTGCCTTGCCTGCCTCGCCTGCCTCGCAGCCATTCCAAGCACCGCCGCCCCCACATCTTCGTATTAATATTATTGTCGAACACCGCCCGGCGCCTCCGTACAGATCGCCTCCCAGATAAAGTTCACCGCCCCACCGTTCCAACGGTCATGCTCCGTTCAGCCAATAGTCACAGAGGATCAGATCGTTGTCACCATCCGCTAATGCCGCCGTTTGTGATCATCCTGCGTTCGACTGCATCGTTGTCTCCGTATCCCAACGCATCGGTCAACTGCTATGGTCGTGCTTTAAGAGCCGTGCCCCGGCTCTCGCCTCGCCCGCTATATTTCGTTTACGACTACTATCCTTTGTTAACCGTTGAAACTGCTATCAGCTATGCCCTCTCGCTCTCAAGAATACACTGACCGGGGGTTCAGCCCCTCTGTCGAAGCAGATATGGATATACACCTGCCAAATCGCCGTTCTTCTCCTATTGCCAGTGCCGCCTCTAACTCTGTTCTCGAGCTTCCCAGAGACCGTAGTGACTGGGGCCTCGCCACCTACTCTCATGATCGCGGCAATGTCCCTGAGACGCGCTCTTTCTCTTTCAGAGATGATGAAGTTCGCTCAGTCGCATTCAACAGAGGCTATCCAGCGGATCGCGATGAAGGTACTTCCTCTGCACGCTCATTTAGCCATGTTATCCCTTGCTAATAAGCCGATCATCCTTAGATCGTCGAAGCAATTGCACTTCTTTTGACGGCCTGGATAACGTCCAATCACCCGACCGTATAAAGCACTGCTACACAAACACGGCCATGGATCATTCCGCTCGGGTCTTCAATGGTGATATCGCTCGCGCCTACGATCCTTCTTCTACCAGAGAACATCATCTGCACGGCGGGTCGGTTAAGAATGAAAGTAGGCTCGTAAACGGGGACCTTGACAGAGAGACGTTTCTGGCATTTTTCTGCAACTCTGATAATGAAGCCCACCGGAGGGGAAGCCACAGGGAAGAAACTCGTCATCGGCGGCGTGGACCCCGCGGAGAAGGTAGGGCTCTTCCACAACACCGGGTTTGATATTGATCGATTTCACCACTGGGAATCAAAATAATCCGCTCAGACTGCACGCTGGTGTATTTGCGAGGTTCCCTCACTAAAACCTTTTTTTCTGGATTCATGAGTTACCTCTCACCTGCCTGGTCGTTGTTGGGACATATCATAGTGTCGAATTTCCGTGTTGTATGTTGTTCATATCCTCTCGCTAAACACAAATTCAAAATCAAAACAATCGACTCAAGCCTACCACAGTGTTAATTCACTAGAAGAACATAACCGACCATTTAGGATGTTAGGTAAGACGATTAATACCCACATGTCTCGAAAAAGTGAGAAATTTGAATAGAGTATAGAGCAATTTACACAGAGCGGCAGGATATCTCGAGAGCAACGGGGTATTTGCTCTCGCGAGATCATGTCGAGGCCTCCACACCAGGCTACAGCCGATCATACATGCAAGCAATGTCGAATGCCAAACAGCAAGTTGCTGGGACTCGCTGTTATGCACAACGATATTGAACTCGCCTAGTGTCTTCTGCAACGCAGGGCAAAGTCAATGCGTTCTTCCGAGGAAAGGCCCCGGTGATGAGGGCACTCAAGTACTCATCTGATGATTTATTGCAGCTATTGCTGGAAAGCCCGACCTTGGATATCAATCTCTAGACCGAGCGCAAGAAAGCGCGCTATGCTATGCTTTTGACGTACGGAACTTGGTCTGTGCTACAAAGCTTGCTGCAGGTCCCAGACCTCAGAGTTGATCTCCGACCCAGACGAGAACGAACAGCACATCATCTCGCGGTTTGGTGGAGCAAAAAGGGACTAGCACGACTGCTCCTCTTCAGTGGCAGCGATTCCCTCGCTGCAGATGACTTTGGCAAGTCACCCCGCGCATCGGCATGACATATCGTCCGGCCGTCCATGAAAGGTATTTTTGTAGGCGCGCAGGAAGCAGGACCCTCACTTCTTTTCTACAGGCCATCTGCCGGCTATCAGACCATCGATGACAGTGAACGATCGCCCCACCAAGCGGCAGCCCAGGGACCCGCAGACGCTGTCAAGCTCCTTCTGATGCAGAAGCATCTGGCCCTGGATGCTCATGATCAGAACGCGGATACTCCACTCCACCTCGCTGTTCGGTGTCGGCGTCTGGCAGTGGTGGAATTGCTGTTGAGCCACCCGTGTGCCAGTATCAATTGTCGAGACAAAGACGGCAACAATCCGCTCTGGTTGTCGACATTTTCCTCGCCCGACGACATGACCGAGATACTATTGGCTGCAAAAGACATTGATGTCAACTTTGTGGGTGGTCGCGGTCAGACCCAATCGCTTTCTACTTCTCTGCATCACTCGGTCGCAAGGAGTGTCACAGTTGCTCTGCGGTGGCTTCTCGAGATACCTGGCATCGACCCCAATCTCTGTGTGGCAGGCGTCTCTCCTTTTTCCGCGGCGGCCGCGAACGGCAACACTCATGCGATGGCGATGCTCTTGGGCAAGAGGGGTGTAGAGATCAATGCGACAAACTTGGCAGATTCACCCCTTGGTCGAGCGGCGGCAAACGGCCACTTGGAAGCGGTAAAGCTTTTGGTGCGACAGGGCGAGTCTCTGGCAATTAACCAGAGCACCATCGCCGCCCAAGACACCGCCGCCTGTGTATCGCCGCCCGGGTAGGCGACTCGGAGATGGTGCGAGTTTAACTACGCCATCCCCAAGTTGATCTCAATCATCCGAATCGTTGGTTCGAGGATCCTTTGTTGCTTGCAGTAAAGGGGGACATCTGCTGGTTGTTGACATGCTTCAGCAGAACCGGAGGCTGCGGCATGCAAGTTTGTGGACATCGCTTCATTTTGCCGAGGAGGGTCCAATTCATGAGGCGATCCAGAAGCGGTTCAATGATTTCAGCAGCCGTCGTGAGGCAGGTACAGCCTCATAATCAAAATGGAGACTTGGTGGCTTGCTCAAATGTCATCAGAAGAACTATAGAATTATCCAGCATGATGCTTTGAAGGTCCAACAGATATCTGAACCAGTGATGATGCGTGGATAATGGACGATACACAAAGATGGAATGATAGGTCAATAAATTGATGGATTGGCAAGAAAGCCAACCTATATAAAGCGGCGGCGTTGATGGCTTGACGGGCACCAGGGGCCAATTATTGCCACGGCATTGTTCTATCCGCTTCGATCTTTTTGAGCCACCCTGCTTTTGATCCTCATCTATGCGACACGTCAAATGCGCCTTAATTGAAACATGCATCGAAATATAACGCCATTCCAGGCAAGAGTCTAGTACTTGCGGGAGTCCGAACTTTGTCGGGCTACACATGCCTTCCCTCATGATAGCATATAAAAACCCCTGCCGATACTCCTCGTCCAGCCCATACAGCTCACTTCGTGAACGCAATGAACTCACCAGATCTTCCTCTATCGACCGACCGACCTACAAAAAGGCAGCGTCGGTTCTCCAAATACCCAGGGGATGACGCTACCGCCGACCTGCATGGCCTGTTCCGAGAACCTTCGGGGCGTGAAAGTATCGAGTGCAAGGTAAAGTTCTTTCTAGTGAGAAAAATAGAACCCAATTAACATGTAATAGAATACCACTGGCGCTGCGGGCCTTCTGACGACCGAGGTCAAGCAGATGCTACGCCTGGGCTCATCTATCGCGAGGCCAGCTCTCGACCTACTCGACCTATTCCTATGTCTCTGGCAATGTTATGTTGTCAAATCTGCCGAGAATATCCGACTCTAGAACGAACGACGCCAACTTTGGCTGTCAAATGACGAACAAAAAGCCGAAAATGGTCTTCTACAGCAGCGTTGTAATGAGCAGGCCCTGGTACTCCGGGACCGTGGGCGCTGGCCCACGCTGTTCAGGCTGGAATCGTGTCAGTGTTACAGACGTGTGACCGGAATTCTGACCAGAAAAATTATTTCTGAGTGATCAACAAACATTGGTGAATATGTATGAAAGCGAGGACGCTGGATGATCGTCCCTTACGATCAACGGGGATGACCGTTGAGACGTCGATGCAGCCGAGAGTTAATTCCCGTTGAGCTTGTGACTATCCATACCTTGCTCAAATAGAATTATCAATGGACCTTTGATTAATACAATGTCTGGCTCTGATAAGAAGGAAAAATTGGCCTATTGCTCGCTCCCTTTCCAGCCCACAAGTTCGTCGATCTAATATCAATGACCCAGTTCTGTTCTCTCCAACTCCTTGAACTACCGACGTCCGAGGAAATGAATCATTTGGCCCAAATGGGTTGGTAAAGTCCATTTCACATCTCCCAAAACGTATACTTACCATCAAGCAGACTTTGTTTCCGATGATGACATCCACGCAGCCTGGCAGGAGTCCTCTAACGTACCCGCTGTACCCCCCCTGCCTTGCTACCGACCGCCGTGGATTGAAGCGAACTTCATTCAACTTATCAGGGGTCTCCAGCTCTGAGGTTTACGGGCTATCTTTGGTCGACTGTGTTTTTTATCCGAATAATGAAATCCAACAAAGCTTTCCGTGGACAGGTCCGGATCCTCTGTCTCCGTCTACCAAGGCGGAGGATATTTTTGTATACTTTTCCGCCTTCTTGCTACCAGAGAAAGTCTACTGGGTGGAATTTCGTCTTTCAAGATTTGACTCTCTCAGTGATGAGTTGATGGGTGAGCATCTCTTTTTCCTGCCACGGTTCGAGACAGCGATGGGGAATCTTTCTCGGGTGCGCAAGCAGATTCTCGACATCATCTCCCAAGTATGCTCTGCAGCGCAGACAGCCCGCTTCCAACTGTCGATGTGGCCCCGCTTAGAACCTCTTCCTTACACTCAGCACTTCATGATGTCGCCGCACTCCACCCTGCCTACGTTGCCATGCCTTGATCCGGGGTTCTTTGTCCATAACCTGTGCGGAAATTTCAGAGAGAAATGGCAGTTGAACTAAAGATACATACGTAATCAGAAATACAACGAGTTTCCACGAGCACAGATAGTAACCTCGGCTACTCATCCTTTCAAATGAATTTCATTTTGATTCTAAGACTTAAGGTAAGACCAAACAGTGCTAAAAAAAAGAATGCCGCCACCGGTAATTAATTCATGTGCTCTGTGCTCTATTCTTCAGGAAAATTGTCTCGAGAGATCCGCATTTGGGGCTTGAATGAAAGATAACTTTGTTATTTTTCCCTTATAAGCCTGGTTTCGCCTTTCCGTTTATCGTTATCGAAAACTCCTCGATTTCTCATTCCTTTATTTCATCATAAGAGCAAGAATCTAGTCGTATTCGAGGATCTATTTCTTGCCTGCCTCTTGCCTGTACTCTGCCTGCATAACCTCCGCAACATTCCCTGCTAACGGATACGAAAAAGATACCAGAGGCTGATGAGGCTGGTCAAAATCACGAGGATACCAAGTACAATCTGACCGATAGCTCCATGGTATATAATGCTGCAACGAGGGAGAGCGCCTCGATCATCGAATGCTGCAAAAACGTCTAGAAATCCATGCATCTGGTCCATAATATACCCACCAAAAGCGAGTACAACCACCCCGAAGAGTAATTGGGTAAAAAAGAAGTTGTCAAATGCAGTCCTCCCTTCTCGTACCCAACTTGGGTGAGCGAGAAGTGTGGGACCAAACAAGGAGAAGAGAGCCGAGGAAAGTGCGGCAATAACCATTGCCTTGCGAAAGTCCCTCATGAGTTCTCGGAACGCGTCGTACAGGATGGGGCTGTCGGATTCATTGAGACCAGCTGTTATTTGGTCTCGTAAAGTATCTGCGAAGCGAGCAGTGACGGAATTAAAAGCAGCGACGAGCAGCCAAATAGTGGTGAGAGAAAAGACACAGAGACGAACAAAGATGCGGGATGTATCGGTATATTGAGACATGGTGGAGTTGAAAAAGGGGAAACCGAGATGAAGTCTAGCCAGAAGCTTAAGCCGCACAATTTCAGGGATTCAATCCAGACTCAGAATGAATTGTTAAGAAGAGATGGGACAATAAGACAATCATTTGGGGACCAGC